GCCTCCTTCACAGGCTTCCCGTTGTTTAACACCCTAGCTGCCCTCCTGCCGTGCCAGAAGGCACCCAGTGCAGGTCTGCCCTCCCATTCAGTCCCAACCAAGAGGCTAGTCATCCAGTGTAAATCCTTCCTCAGTCAGGACCCAGGAGGAATTAAGCCACCTCCGTTGCCACAGGGGTTCAGCGATGCTCAACGTCCCATAAGACAAGGTCTGCTGCGCTTGCCTCCGAGATGACCTACCGTGCCGGGGAGCAAAGGAGCCCGCTCTCACTTGGATGCTACAGCTCGGCTTCACAGAGCACCCATGGGCTGTGCAGAAGGGGCTGGGCTTTGAACCGGCAGCCTCCAAGCCGCGAGCGAGCTCGGCACGGGCTGTACACCCCGTCAGGCACACACACGCACGCACGGACGGACGCACAGTCGACTGCTGACACACCCAGTTGCTGGGCTGCACCTCGCTTTTGCGGCAGGCTGCAACTGCCTTAGTATTTCCTCCGTGGGCCAGACAAGATAAAGACATGAACAGAAGTAATTGGCTTCTCCATTGGAGAAAAGAAATCAGAGCTCTTGCGAAGGACTAAACAAAATTTCACCCAAGTGAAGAGGACAGCTGACCGTCTTCCATCAGCAATGGGAGCAAAAAAAATATACAGAATCCATGGCTATCATCTCTAAAGACTCTTAAACCAACGCCACCTAATATTTCTTTAATTACACGGTAAATCAGTGACTGCAGAAAGTTTCACAACGGAAATCATTATTTGTGGGCTTGGAGACAGAAATTGCTGAGGTTAATACCCCGCCCATCCACAACCATTAAAGTATGATTGATCCCACGTGTTCTGGGAGCGACACGCATGCTAATACTTCAGTATGCTGGCTCCCTGCCACATCCACAGAATGGAAGTGTAGGTGCTCAATTCCGAGGGAAATATTTGGCATCAGAAGCAAGTTACGCTCCGAAGAACAAGTGCAAAGACAAAAGAAAGGAGAAAGCTATTTCTATCCATTGTGCAATTACCTCCATTCCCGTTAATAAAGTCATGACACAAGGCTCAAACTATGACAGCTAAAACACATACACCAGAAAAGGACAGCTTTTAAATTATGCCTTATTTTTCTCTCATACTTTACAGACTATATGGGCTGGAAAGGGATTTTTAATCTTGGCTGATGTAATCTGATTCTCAGAGAAATCTAAAGTTTGCTCTGACCTCTCTGGCACTCCAAATTTAATACAGGAATGGAACATAAAACAAACCCACCCCAAATCTCCATTTCCCTGAAAACTGTTTTGAAACAGAAACACCGAAAGACACTTTACCATTCATTTTCAGATTGCAACTGGAGATGACTGGCACTGTACACAATTTCTGAATGGTCAGTAACTGGCTGTGGAGCCCGTTCTCCCAAGGACCCAGTTGGTCCAGGGGGACTCTAGGTAATAAAAGCAAGTGGGCTTAGATATGGACTAATTAACGGAGGTGACACAACCTACACAGCAGGCACCAAGAGACAACAAGTTTGTTCAGAAGCAGGGCCAGCAGCTTGAGTCAGCTACCAGGCTGCATTCACCAGACAGGAACAGCCTTTCGGGACAGCTAAGTCACACGAGCATCTTCGCGACGTTTGTTCTTGCATCGTGCATAAAGCAGCAACAGTAATACTGAAGGACAAAACTGCTCACATTTTGAGTAACGCTTCCTTTTCTAGTGCATCAACATGACAGTCGGCCAAATCCCTCAGAAAATGCTGCCTTTAAGACCACGACGACAACGGAAGGGTTTGGGCAACCCGAAAGCACCACCGCAGCTCGAGTCAATCCAGTTTGCGAATCCAGGCACAGCCTCTGCTCAACAACACTGACAATAAACATGAAAATTTGATTTACAAAACCGCTCAGAACTTTCCTCCCCTGCTGTCTACAGTCTTTGGTAATCTCAGAGGGACTTTGCAAGCAAGGGATATTTTATGCAACTCAACCCAGGAATGAGAAGAACATTTGTCAAAGGGCAGCATTTCCAGCCGGAGCTCACATTCAAGTTCCAGAACAAAAGAAGTGACCTGGACCTGTTAAATCCTGCTGTGTCCTGTTTTACAGAGAGCAATGCTTACATGTCAGAGGAATCTGGAATTCCCTACAGACTAACTGGAATATTGCACTTGGCAGACTGCCTCCAGCTAACACATGTTCTGTAACTCAAAACTGCCGACCAGGAGCAGCAGTCACTTCCCAGACTCAGGGGTTCATTCCAACAGCACCGAGTTCTCTCTTTCATCATCCACCGCTTCATCTGCCCACAGAGACCAGGTGAGGAGCCAGCAGCAGCACACGTTTGTTTGAGAGGCTCCACTCCTGGTATCAAAGAGTAAAACAGAAGGGTGAGGCAGCTACTTTAAAGGACTCGGTCCTGCAGAATTGCAAGAAGAATTTTGTTGAGGAAAGAGTTTCGGGTCGAGGCTTCCAAATAACTCAAGAGGCTCATTAAAAAGAAAAAAAATCCAACAACAACAGAAAAAACCAAAAAACCCAAAGAGGACAGGTAAGTTCTCAGCTGCAGGAGAGCATGTACAAAGTGAGGGAACGCTAGCGTTGCTCTTTCTACACGTGTTGTACTTTTCCCCAGCGTGGGCTGTGGGGATTAAGCTACTACCTTTCAACATTAGTGCTGTGCTGTAATTTACGGAGAAGGATCTGCGTCAGGTCAAAGGTTGTGAAGCTTATTCCCACTGCAATTGGACCTTTGACCCAGTTCATGCTGAGTCCTTTGTACAAGCCACGGATTAGTCCCTCTTCTCTTATAATCTCCTGCATGGTGAGAAGGATGGAACTGTACGTGTGTCCCATAACCCCCGCCGTCTGCATTCGTCGGCGGACCACATCCAGGGGGTAAGAGGCTGACTGGCCAATCAAGCCTGCACAGGCACCAAACAAAAGCCGCTCCGGAGGGGATGGCTGCAATTTCCCACTGTGATCTGGGAAAGAGAAAGTAGCAGAGTGTAGAAAGCTGCTTGTAACAAACACATGATCAAGGTCAAGTGGGCTGAGAGCCAAAGAGAACTGAGTGCCAGGGCTCCGGAGATTCTGTTCCCAACTTGGTTGCTAGCAGACTTGCTATGTAACCAAGTCCTTCTGCACCCAGGACTTGCACCTTCTCGTTCCTCCGCAAGGCAGAGATACTGCTTTTCTGCAAGTCCGGCATTGGAGAGAGGAAGGCAGAAGGCACAGAACCTTGCAACTGGCTCCAAGGCCAGCAAAAGGACTTGCACCACTGAATCCAAACACCTCAAGTTGGCCAAAAGCCTGCACCATTTGGTTTGAAAGCAAAGCAAGTTGCCTTTACCTGCATGCAGTTTCTTCAACGTCTCATAGGTGAAGAAGCTAAGCCCAGCGTACGGAATCACTCCAAGGATGGTTGGTGTAAATCCCCTGTACAATGTCTTCAGTCCTTCCTCTCGGGATATTCGGATGAAGACATGAACGATATTGCTGTACCTAGCACGTGGACACAGGAAAACCAAATCTGGGCTGGTTAGTGACTGCAGCCACCAGTACTATTTCCAACAGGACTTTCTGGAGGATCAACAATTAATTAATTCAGCTCTGAGCTCACCAAACGGCTCAGAAGGGATTTCAGAAGCCTGTCTGCCAAGGGAGAAGCCAGTCACCAGCTCTCCTGTAGCCCTATCACAACATGCTACCCTGTCTGTTAGATCTCTCGCGGAGGCGTTGTGCCAGCTGGCCTCCCAAAGAACCAACAGACAGGTTTTACTAGTGAGGTCTTTCAGTATCGATCTCCTTCCAGCCCCTGGACTAACCGGGGCTCCGGTCGTTTAATCAGTGCTCAGACCCCAGCAGTAAGAGGTTTATTACACCAAAGGCTCCGAGCAAGAAGTGACCCAGAAAATGGGAATAAAGTCGTCTGACCTTAAAAGAAAGTTCTGCATTTGTTCGTGGTGCTTGTACTTGCTTTCGTTAGGCACTTACATCTCCTTCGGCGTGACAGCCATTCGAGCACGGACCATATCCAAGGGGTAGGTTAACATGGCAGCCGTTGTGCCTGCCAGAGAGCCAGCAATGAATCGAGGAAAGGGTGTCAGCGCTCTAAAGTAAGGTGAGAGAAGAGACCAAACAGATCACCTGGAGATGGAAATACTACGTGGCTTTTGAGCACGGCTCTACTCTACCTGCTACTGAATCCCTTCCCTGCCTGCGTACGGAAGAGAGTCGGGTGGGTGGGGGCTGAAGCAGCTGTGGTTTGCCACAGCCATACAAGAGGGAGGCTTAGAGAAGGATCTGTTGAGCACAGCAAGCCTGACTTGGGGTGGCTCAGACACTACATGCCCAAGAGCAAGAGGCTCAGGCCACACACACGGCTCAGATAACGGCACAAGGCTGGATCTTGTTGCTTCTCCTGCAAAGAAAAGCTCTTTGTTTTGCCTGCCCACTCACAGCACAGGGAAGTGCTAACTCAACATCTAGGCCACTTCTTGCTCACGCCTCTACAAGACAGGGTCTTCTCACCAAAAATCTCCCCTGTGCAACACTACAAGCCCAGCCCTTTGCACAGCCCCCTCACACGCGAAGCCAGCGTGAGAGGGGCCAGCACAAAGCAGAGAAACACGTTCCCTCCCTACAATCTACGGTCTCAACAACTGCTCCATCCTCCTCCGCAAGGACCAAAGCCACGCTGCGTCTTACTTTCCCTGGAAGCCGTAGTAACTCCCCAGGAGCTGCTTGTACTCTTCGTGCGCGCAGAACTGAATGGCAGCGTAAGGGATCACGCGGACCATGGTGGCTGAGTTCCCCCGCCAGAGGCTCCAGAAGCCTTCATTGAGGTAGGTGCGATAAATCAGCCTGTAGGCTTCCTGCAGGCAACGGATCAAAGGTCAGACAGGGGGATCATGATAAGAGGGAGTCCAAACAATAGAGGGGGGGAAAAAGGTGACCCCACCGCTTAACCTCTCCAAATCCTCCTTCCCGCCCCAACCACGGTAAGCTGATATCAGCTGTTTACACTCGCTCCAGAATAAGACAACTAAAACGTCTTCTCTGGGGAGACTGAATCAGATACGTTGGAGCGAAAAAGCAGCAGAGTCACAGAGACTTTACATTCAAGCCATCTCCATTTTGCCTCCGAGGGCAAGGCACGAAGCTGGATTGCTGTTTGCACAAACCACTTCTCAACCCAAATTAATCTCCTTAGTATGAGGCAGAAACATTTGGATTACACATATTCGCGCAGCACACACGGAACAGCCGTAATGCACATGCAAAAAAAAAAAACAACCCAAACCATTCAGCAAGCCACGACAGCGATCCGCTCCCAAACTCAAAATTTCCCACATGCTCTGAAACAACTCCAGTAGCGGCTGGGGGAAAGCAAGCAACCACTAGAGGAGAAGGCCTGAGGAAACAAAGCCCTAAAAACATTTAGTGTCACGTCACAGGTAGAACCTGGAGTATGAACGAGGACTGAGGCCTCTCCGTGCCAGGCACTGGACAAAAGCACAAACACGGAAGAGCACTGTCCTACGGAGCGTTACGAACAATGCTGTTTCCAGTCTTTCCCTCTGTGCCTACGAGGGCTCCTGATAAAACCCAAGCAAGAAAGTTAAAGGCACACAAACAAAAGATGCTGTTAGGGCTATTACTACCATTAATCAAATACTTCAGGTCAACAGGAGACAGACACATCACCTCACCTTGGCAGAAAATCTTTTTGAAGACACTAAAAAGAAAAAATGAGCATTAGGTCTTGCAATACATTTAGAAGGATCAAATAAACCATACAGGCGTTTTATCGAAGGGATAAAAATAGAAGCAAAAGATTTAATGCAAGAGAAAATAGAGATTCTTTATAACAAACAAAGACTTTCCATTGGCAAGTGCTCCCAAACTCTATTTAGCACATAAATTCATTCTTCCGCCTGCTGTTATGAAGATGCTCAGTTTGTGTCACACTTTCTACTTTAAAGCACTAAAAATTAATAAATACATTAATAAAAAAATCAAAACTGCATCGACCACTTATTTTAGCAGGGCCCTTCCATGCACAGGTCCCAGACTAATGCCAGAATCCAGCAAAGAACGGGTCTGTTTAGCGAGGCTCCACGCAAGAACGGTTTCATCCTAGCAAAACTCAAATGAACACTCAGTTTCGTTTCTTGCATCCATTCAAACTGACAGCATCTCTTTAACTAAGTAATACACACGGTATTTGGTAGCAAGATGTATTTGGCATACAGCAGCTCTGTTTTGTAACATTCCTACAGCAAGAAGGAAACCCAGGCTAAAAACTGAACGCTAATGAAACATGGCTCCAATTAAGTGTCTATTGCAGTTTCTTTCAAACTCCTTTGAGACTTGTAACCTCTCAAGTGTATCAACAATCCCATGCAAATACATTTTCACCACGCTGCTCCTTTATGCAATTCAACACTTTTTTTTTTTTTTAAGAAATAAAAACACCTTAATAACCAATTGCAGCTGGCTCTGCAATGGAAAAGAGCTGCCCTTCTCCCACAGGAAAATTCGTCTGTCTCTAGTTCAAGGGACAACCTTCCTGCACTCACACGACCCAGAGATATTTTCCCTCTTCACAGACAGGGAAGAGGCCCCAGAGTAAAAACCTCTAGGAGCAAGAGACTAAGAAATCCATTAAATACTAAGAAATTGGTCAGAACGGGCACATTTTAATCATATCCTCTGCAGCAAGTTTAATGGGCCAAACCAAACAGGTCTTTTTATAAACGTAGGCCTGTACAAATTAAAGGTGATTTATACAGACAGCTGTTGACTCAGCCCAGTTCTGCAGTTTCCATCTCACCTCTGATCCTGACATTTCCAACCTTAGATGAACTACAGTGTTTGTTCTGGTGAGAAAGCACAGCGCGTACTCGTTGCTGCCTGAGCATCTGCTCACAGATGCAATCCCAGCCCACAGCCAGCCCAGGCTTTAGCTCCCTACAGCTTGAACTCCCTGATCTATATCCCCCGCTATTCCAGACCTCAGCCCCTGCTATGTTGAGAATGAAAACCATGTCGCATGAAAGTCGATTCAAAATTAAATCTCATCCAGGGATTAGATTAAACCTACCCAATTCATTTAATCTGGGACGTCAACCAGATTTAAAATTCTTGGCCTCACCAAATGTCTACTGCATTCACAGGCTGCACTCTTCCCTTTGGGACAATCACCGTGCTGACAGTTCCTGCACCGAGACAGGGGAACTGAACAGAGCCCACGATGTGGCCGAATCCCAAATCCCACTAAACACGTGAGAGTTTTCTATTCCAACGAGATGAATTTCGTTTTCAGTTACAGACTTTACCAGTTCCAAACAGGGCTCTGTAATACAAAGCTAGGTCCGCCAGCTTCAACGCCTCTTGCGGTACTTTGCATCATTAACTTTCTCACCGAAACAATTCAGCTGCAACACAACCCTTCGTAGAAAAGAGAGCGCACGTTTGAGCAGGCACAGCCTGGCATCCAGCCTTTAGTAAAAAACCCAGACAGCTCAATCGCCTCCTTCCAGTGTCACCACATCTCCTCGTATCGCTCCTTTCCCCCCCTCCCCACCTTATTTCTCCAAATCGAACAGACACCGAAATCCAGAGCGTTACCAACCACCCCCTCAAACGCTGCCTTGCCAGTGTGTATTTACTCTGCTCTCCAACCTTCTCCCCGATGTCACCGTGGCCAGCCCACATTCATGAGCCATGGGCATCTGTCTCTAACCAGCAATACGGGCATCTGCGTTACAGTGAAACAGCAAAACTCTTGCTGACTACCATGAGACTTGGATCCAACAGCACGGGCCAGATGCACAGCTGATTGACACCTGCAATAATCCTACCGAGAACCAAACAATAGGTTTTTAGACCCCATTCACTGCGGTAACGTCCCTATTCTGTCTGCATCCTGCCGGATCTCTGCAGACTGAAGGAGGGCAACGCGCTGGGGAACAGGCTGGTTGAGCAGATCAGAGAAGCTGTTTTGGATTCTGCTAACAAGAAAGGAAGAGCTTTTTGCAAAAGCCAACGGGACTCACCTTGAAACATGATTTTTGTCCTATCCAGTGGAGCGACCGCAGTTTTAGCAACAGCGCCAGCCAACGCACCAGACATCAGGGAGTTGAGCACTTTCTTTTTCTCCTGGTTACCCTGGAACAAAGCATTGTTCAGTCAATCCTAAGCAAAAGTTGTAGCATTTCACCTTCGCTGCAGCATTTACCCCCTCGCAAGAGCTTGGGTCAAAACTCTCCTCCAAATTTCAAGCACAGTAAATTGCTGGTCAGATCACGAAGCACGAAGATTAGACTCGTCTGCCAAGATGCAAAGTTCCAGGGTCTGCCACCTCTTAGACGTGCTGTTTTCTCCCTATTAAGATTTCTAAAAGCTAAGCCACTACCTCCTCATGACACAGGCGTGTCGAGAAGGTAAGTTTCTTTCCTGCCCTTCCAGTAGCACACAAGCCCTATTTCCACATTGTTCCCAACACCCTAAGAATAAAACAAGACAGGTCTCCTACTATGATAAATGGAACAGAAGTGGTTTTGTTATTGACATTCCTGCCACAGCTCATATTTATAAAGCAGCTATCTTCTTGTAACACAGGGGCAGAAAGCAAGTTAATAACTTGAAATCTAACACCGTGAAGGTTACGGACTCAAAGACAAGTCAAGACAAGGCTTAAGAACGTTAACTTTTGATATGCTTCGTGTTTTCATGGGGAAGAGGAGTTAACATTTTTCTTTTTTCAGAATGTTTCACAACTAAAAAGTTAATGTTTGTTACCAAAATACACGGTTCAGTTCAATTTCCCATTCCAGTCTTTACCTGTCTGGTGCTAAACGCAAGGGTAGCCATGCAAAGGCTGCACTGTGTGAACTTCAGCCCGAGTTCTGGCCTAAATCAGGCCAAAGTTCAGCGTTTCTAACAAGAGTCCAGCAATGGCAGCAAGAGGAGGGAAACCAAGGCTTAGGGCTCTCTTCCCAGCTCTGCCACTGAAGACATAACAAGACATAACCTTGAACAAGGAACGCAGCCCTGCCTGCCTGTCAGCTGTGAGCGACGCCCAGCCTCTTCCCAGAGGGCTGGAACTGCTTGGCCATCCCCGGAGAAAGCAAAAGTTGCACGTGACGTGGCTCGCACATCCACTCCAGCTCTTTCAGGGCCCTGCGGCTCAAATCCCACTGAGATGCTTCCTTTGGAGAGCAGGCACGCAGCTCTCCTCTCAAACCCACTGCATCCAGCCAACGATCCCCCGCTCTTACCTCTGCTGGAAGATGGGTCGATGTAACTGGCTCCACATCCTGCCGTTTGAAATCCACTTGACCTTCTCTCACACCATTACCCATACCAGTTGCACTTACAAGTGGGCAGAAGAGCTACGGCTCCTAAATTGACAATGAGGATAAAGCACGAGTTAGCGCCAGAAGTAGCGAACACACAGGTAACAAAAAGCCTGTGCAGGAAGGAAGAGTGACCTACTCCCAGGGCCCTTTTCAGTAGGAAACCCCCCACCCCAAGCTCCCAGCTGAGGAGCATTTCCAGGATCCTAGCGCCATGTCCTTCCTTGAAGGTGCCAGCACACGTGTGGGGGGTCCTTCGGTGCTATGTAAAAACTGTGTCAATTGTAGTCACACTTTTCAGCCCACAAAGAACTCGGCTGCATGTTGCAACACCAAAATATCCATAGTTTCTAGAGAGAAGAATCAGATCCTGCTCTGTCCCCTTCCATCGCTCACAGCGAGGATTTTGATTGCCGTGCAGTCTGACTGCTGAGCACCCAGATACTGGAGAAGGCACACAGAAATTTAAAACCCAGCCCTGGAAACCAGAAAAAAAATAGTCACAGCAGTAAGTCCCGAAAGCCTGCCAGAAGCAATTGGAGGTTATTTTGGGAAAGGGATAGATCCAATGCCTCACACGTGCCATAAAGGCTGTTTTGATGATGCCAGCGATTGGACTGAAAGCAGCACATTGTGATTTCAGAACCCCCTTTTCTTCACAGTTGCAACACACATGTGCTCGTAGCGAGTGAGTCGGTGCAGTTTGCACAGATGTTTCTTGCTGCGATACATGCTCTCACTTGCCTCTCGAAAGGCAAGGTCAGTCTCATCTCAGCTGCAGAGTATAAACGCAGAGATAGTGCTTTAAAACAGATCACTTCAGCATCTAACTTCCTAATATTTCTGCTTGTTACGACACCATTTTTTCACCCTTAAATACGCAGAAACGAAGGAGCTGAAGTTTGAAAAACTCGAGCTAGCACAGAGGGGCGGCCTCCCCGCGTTCTGCTCTATTCACAAATGGGGTGTGTGACTGCAGAGATCAGTTTCCTAAGGAACAAGCCTGCTCAAAGAGGCATTTCCATTTTGTTGGCCTCCTCGCAAGAGGTGTGGTATTAGGAAATCTGAATTCCTGAATTGCTCCCCAGTTCTGCCACAGCCTTCTCGCGTGTCCTCCAGCAAACGACTTCACCTCTGCCCCCCTCTGATGCCTAGGAACCCTCAGGCACAACAGCTTGCTTACTTGGAAAGACCGTCTTAAGACTATTTTTTTTTTTTCCTTCTTAACAATCTCTAGATATTATATGCTTGTCAGCACCTTTCATATTTGCTGACCTATTTTTTTTTCCCCCCACATCGCTCTCATAAATTAGTGCCAGACTTCACTTTCAAAACCCCTTGGTTGCAGCAGAGATATTAACGCGAAGCTGGAGACAGATCAGCCCTGTCTGTACTCGTGCATGACCAATTTGTGATGATGAAGCTACGCACGACCCGCGCACTCAGTCCAAAGGAGGACAAACACACCTGGGTGTCTTCAATGCCAGCCATCACTTGCTAGAGCTTTGGGAAGACACACATCAATGTGTTTACAACTCCTGAGGGTGTTTTCGAAAAGAGGATGTTGCTCAGACAGTAATAACTCAAAATTTTAATGAAAGAGAACATCTGATAGACCACAGCACGACCTAAACAGCATCCACGTTTGCACTTGGAAAGTTCTGTCGCGGAAGCCTGGTAACACCAGACCATGTGAACAAAATCTCCCCTAAGGATCAAGACCAAGATCATTCATAACACTACGGAGCAGAGCACTTCATTAAATTATTTTGAAGAACACAGGCTGTTGATTATTTCTAATTACCGTCTGCAGTTACTTCCTTTCCTTCTTATCTCAGGAACCTGGAAAATGTATTGTAGAACAATGCCTTTCAGCGAAAGCATAAAAGAAATCACAGGTAGAGTCATTATCCCTGGCTGTCTCAAAGAAATGTAGGTCACGATATCAGATTTATCTCTACCAAAAATAAACCCACAAAAATAGAAATCATGCTAAAGAGCTTAGGAATGCAATACGCAACTTTATTTTAAAACATGATTTTGAAAGATGATTGAGAAAGAGATGACTAAAAGGAAATTTTAAAAACTAAACTGATGCTATTAAGCCTGGATTTATTTTAGAACATGCACATGCATAAAGACGATATCCATTTACTCAATAATATTCTCTTTGATCCTATTCAGACGTGTTCTTTTTTTATTTTTAGTGCCCGATGCCCTGATCTTACAAACACCTGTCTATATGCTCAATTTTACACACTAAGACTGCCCACATGCTCTACATAAATAGGGGCTCTAAACTTGCAGAGGCTTAAATGTAAAAATAGCATTTATTATTTTTATGCACATTCGCTCGCTGCAAAGCAACGCGGCTGTATTTTATTTTGGAGCTGGGCTGGATTTGGATGCCGGCGAGTCAACCACCGAATTCTGGCTGTTATGACCAATAACACACGTTGGAGCCACAGAGAACAAAGCTTTGCATTAAAGTTCCAGCGTGGATTTGGAGAGCGTGGCCACGAGAAGCCAGGCGTTATTTTGCATATACAGCAATCTGACTCGCTCATTAGGTAATCCTCTGAAACCCAACGTGGAGCAGGCGGATGTTTTTTAAATCCCTGTACTTTGCATAGCTCCGTAAACAGTCATTACTTGTGTTTACAAAGCCATCGGAAACGAGGAAGAAAATAGCTGCGGATTAGATTTATTCTTTTATAACACACTTCTGCGTTATTTACACTGCAGTTAGGCGAGCCCGCGCCACGCATCTGGATCCAGTCCTCCTCAGTACTCCATGCTGCAGAGCAAACCATTCCCCCAAGAGAATATATAATCAGAAAGCAAAATCGCTGGCGAAGGCGAGTTCAAAAGTTAAGGAGGTTTAATGAGTAACATACGCTGGGCTTTTACAACAAAATTCACAATAGTTTATTGAAAGTACAAAGCACTTAGTCCGGCATCCAGTTTCAACTCCACCGGACAACCCTGCCTGCGAGTTCCCCATGCTAATGCACAGTCACAGATTAAAGATTATTTACCCCGTTGCAAAACAGGGAAGCTCAGGCCCCGCGTGTCTGGCAGCGGCACCTTAGACAAACTGCTGAGCTGAGCTGCAACGGGCTGTTTTGTGATGGTGCTCCGAGCCCTGGAACTCTTTCTAGGGATCCTGCCTGTGCTCTAGCAATGGCAGAAACATCTGTGCACTAAACCACGTCTCATTCCCCGCATACCAGGAGATGCACGGAATATGCTCCGCACACTAAAAACCAGAGCATTGTTAGTCTTTCCTTTCCATTCTTCCCGCTCTCTCTGGCGGCACTTAATGAATACCTGAGCAAGTTCAATCAAGCTGTCAAATTGACTCTCTGACAAGTTAGACATTCTGCTTTTCTTGGTGGTGATTTTGATTAAAAGGACAGGCGAGACAGAATCAAGTTATTCAGATGATAAAAGCAACCTACTAGGGAGAATGGCTCACAGGCAGGTGCCAGTTCATTGCCCAAAGCGGGGTGAGGGTTCAGAGAAAAAACAGCTCTAGCTGTCCAAGCCGCTTGTGAATCCAATCATGATGCTATATTTCACTGAACATATTTTAAATTACACAGTCTTAAGATAATTAGTTACTCAGCAGAAGAGCCAAGGAGTTTCAGAGACCAGCATCACAACCAGGAAATAAGCACAAATTCTCCAGTTACGGTGTGTACAATTAAAACCGCATCGCTAAAGCAAAGGCTTGCAGATCATCACACATTTCCATACCGCAAAATTAAACCTTATTTAAAAGTTTGACTTCACATCATTACGGCACAACCTGCCTGAAACCCCACCTTTACGCACTTTACCAGCTATGCACACGCTTTCCCATGGCAGATCAACACCACCAACTCCCAGCAGCAGCGGGAAGGAGGAGATCTGGCTTTTGCACAAAACTCACAGCTGACAGAGGCAGAAATGACACTGCCCATCCTCTCCAGGCTTCCCTAACATCCTCACCACTCCCATCCTGCCAACACCTGCGCAGACCCGAAGCTACCTGTTAACAGAAAAATACCTTAACTACAGCAGCAGACCCAGTCATTACAGTTTTCACATTACCACCTAGTCAGAAAACAGGAGAAGCCCGGGCATCCAGCCCAGAGAGTGGCTTGCAGTGTGCCATTACCGAAAACATGTTTGTCTGATATTCTCCAGTGGAATTTAGACCTGTCACAAAACACTAAGATTTCTGAACGAATATCATCTATCCTGCAAGAACAGCAAAGCAAACAGGCAGCACCAACAGCTATCTGAACCCAGCGCCAGCTATTTGCTGAGAAATGTTTGCTTTTGTCCTCGGACAAAACCAGTTGTAATTAACAGAAGTAGTTTAGAGCCCTGGACATGGGAGTGCCCTGGCAGGTAATGACAAAAACACCTATTTTCAGCAGGCAAGAGCTGCTGTGACTTGACGCCCACAGAATGCACTGTATTCTGAAGACAGGCAGAAGGAACTTCGCCCGGCTATTCACTTCTGTCACCAAAACCGAGGAGACAAAACAAGGCGCATATGGAAACTTAGAAGACTGGTTTTATTCCGTAACTGGGAGTTGTGTACAGCACCTACCGTACTTACAGCTCACAGACACACTGTTACACCAACCTGGATGAAGTCACAGTTCACCCCTGGTGCAGAATTTCAGCTTCATTCAGGTAAAGTCACTTGTATAACTCCATTCAGATATGACAGCTTCCCTCATTATTCATCAGCTACCCAGGTCCTAATTATTCTTTTTTTTTTTTTTTTAATTATGTCATTAACATCTCTAATGAAAGCGTGTAATTAAATTAGGAAAAATGAAAACTAAGATAGTTCCTGCAGAAATTTTCACACGTTTTCCCCGGCAGGCTGAAGTTAAACAGTACCCAGGGAAGTTGCTCAATTAGATTTCCTTCAATTGTTACTGTTAAACCGAGCAATTGAGCCTGACAGAGAAAGAGAGGTGGTAAGAGCTGAGATTATTGCAGCCTTAAACTCACCCTTGGAGCAAAAGCATCACAGAAAATCAT